GGACAATAGCATTTGATTGTGCAGGGCTGGCATGAACTTCTTAAGTATGTAAAGAGGCGTGACAAATCAAGGTCTGTGAGAATATTCCGGACTGCAGAACCCCATGGCAGCCATTTTCCTTGTCAGTGGTACCACTGTGGTCTGGAGAGGAGCCCTCCACAGAGGGGAAGGGGTGGGCATTTGCCAGTACCTCGTATTTCCCAGGGGCTGGGAAGCAGGGCCTGGTGCCTGGGATCTGCACTTGATGTGTTTGTGTCACAAACCAGCTTGGTGTGTCACTCTCTTCATTTCTCAGCTCTCTTCCATTTCTGCCTTCTTTCCTTTCTTTTACATGTTTTCTTGCCTGATGGTATCTTTCTTCTTGAGAAACTTCTGGTGCTCTGCCCTCGGATTGGAAAATATCTTCCTTGGTCCTTTCCGTTCCCCAGCGTTGTGGCCCTCCCAGTGCAGAAGACAAGAGAGCAAAGAGGGACCACTGAAGAGTTACAGCAGCCCCATGGCCAATGTAGATAAACATTTCAGACCCCCAATTTTGTGCTTTTCTCCTTCTGATTTTGGGAAGGAGAATTTGGGAGTACACACAAGAACTAGATTTTTAAATAGAAGTGCCATATTTCTGCTGCCTCAAGGTTGAATGTAACCTCCAGCAACAAAGAACCCAATGGAAGAGAGATAAAGGCCGGTAAGGGACATTTGGCAAGAGATGGTTTGTCATGATGAACCCCTCAGAAGTGACTGTGGAATATTGTGGAAATGCAACACTTCACTGTCCCTTCATTTGAGAACCAGATGAAAGTACTGGTTGTTGAAGCGGCACTGGCTGACATTAAGAAAGCCCACAATAAAATAAAAAGGCTTTCAGTCTGGTTAATCAGTGAGCTCGAAACAATCTGTCACAAGTGTTGCTGCTCATTATAAACGTGAAGACACCTTAGGCCACTGGGTCCTGGTTTATTGCACTGCTTTCCATTTCTTTGCTAGCCTTTTTTATTTTAGGAGCTCCATAATGTTATGCCTAAAACAAGCGAATGGTGTTTTTAAGTGAAGTTGTTACACACTGTGGTATCTAATGAGTGTCTGCTCATCTGTTTGCTTGCCATGTTTATAGAGTCACTAAATAACTTTTTGCGTGCTGTCAGAGAAAAAACTACAGTGTGAGTGAGGAGGAAATCCAAACGTACTGCTAAGGAAGACAGACATGCCAGCACATCAGCTACACTTTTCTTGTGCCTTGCTACTGTACTCATTACCCGTGCTAGCATAGAGTATTAATGTATTTGAATAAATAAAATCAAACTCAGTTTTTCCCTGAAGCTTATCTGCCTTTTTTTTCCTTAGCGCTTTTCAGGCGCAGGAGGAAATTAGGGTTGATTTTAAGAGCAAGAAAAGAAGAGGTAGAGAAACAGATAAGGAAAATAGAAGGAGGCTGGAAGCCTAAAGTAGAGGGATGGCAAGTAATTTAGAGGAAAGGAGAAACAAGCAACTCCACTAATTAGAAACAAATGAAGGATGGAAGCTGTGAAAATATAAATCTCACTAACCCTATGACTTCTTCTGGCTGGTTACAGCTGCTGATGGTGGTAGCACTCGCTGAGTCTGGGTGAAAAGCCCCTTTGATAAGCCAAGTCTTGCTGGAAAAACTAACTCTTGGATTTCCAAGTTCTACAGTTTTGGGGGCGGAGGACAGGGGTGATTATATCAGAGAAGGACTCTGAGTCATAGCATAGATTTCCAGACACCTTCTCAGACACAGAGGAGCTTGTTATTGTTTGTTCCACTAGACAAACATGAAAGATTTTTTCTTCTATACATAAAGCTGACCAGCTATGTAGAACATTGGGATTTAGAGACTAGTGAGAGTTCTGAGGCTGTAAGTTCAAGAGTGTATTGGTACTTGTGTGAAGCTAGTCATACAGAAGATAAAACACCTACAGGCTTGCGTGGATAGCAGTAAGGTAGGGTTTAGATGTTGTTCATACATGACTTCAATGTTAGTGAGGATTTGAGATGGATAATTTGAATGGGAAAGGAGAATATTAAAAAGATGGAACTGAATTGCAGCATGTGTTAAAAAGAGCAAGAGAGAAAATACAAAGCAGGTGACTGTCTTCCTGAGTTAGTACACCTAGTAGTTTAACACATGCTTAATTTAAAGAACCAGACGTTTACACCAAGACTTAGAGACTGACTGTCCTATTGGAGGAATATTAGACACCCTGCAGCATAGAATTGAAAGGCCAAGTTCTCAGACTGGAATTGTGTATCTAGTCTGTGATGTACGTAGGTCAGCAAGCCAAGGATGCGTGCATACACAGAGTTGTGCACATCTGTCCAGCTCTGTGAACATACAAAGCATTCAGTTGTGTCATTTCTGATCGTTGCAACAATACCTTTTCTTATTCATTTGCTTCAAAGAACCAGCTATGGGTATGCTTCCTCCCTGAGAACACCAAATTTGGGTACTCTCCAATATATTGCTTTAATGACAGGAGAATAAAACACCAACACAGAAAAAGATTTATATTTTAATAAGACATTAAATAATTCTGCTAGCAAATATAAACTTTTACATAAAAATAAAACCTTTGACATTTATTAAAATTTGAATGATATTAATCTGAATGAAAATATTTGGAATGTTAGTGTAATAGCTTAATAAACTGACTCCCAAATTGTTTTACTCACTCAAAAGGACATGCAGATTTTCTCAACCACCATGAAAGTGGAGTAAAATTTGAGATAGCATCTAGCAACTCACATCATCATTTAAGAGAAAATATTTATACCAAGTAGAAACTGTAGAGGATTTATCTCCTCCAAATGAAACTCTGAGCTGAAACTTGTCTTGAGAATGTGAGAATCATGTCATGAGAATGAGTCTTTGTGTCATGAGAATGTCCCTTGTCCTGGGAACAAGTCCCTGCTCTTGTTGCAAACGTGATGCCTACAAAGGAAAACAAGACCTCAGAAGTTTTTTGTCTCATTTCTGCTGCATTCTTCCTCCTGAAAGATGTCACTGGTGTTGAAGGAGATACAGTGCAGAGATTGTTCAAGATTGCAAAACTGGCACATTTTTAGTAAAACAGAGAATCTATTCTGAAGGGTATAACTATATCCTGTAGTTGAGATTACTATAGTGTAGGGATTGCTTTATCTTCAAACATTGAAGCAAAATTAAGAAATGGAGAATGTAGCCAACCAAACTGGAACATGGCCTACTTCTATAATATTTTTTCAATATTTACTTAACTTCATTTTGTTTGTTTAGGCTTACATACATACAAGTGATCCCTCATGCTTTCATTTCCTGTCCCTGTATCCATCTGAACAACTTGGTCAGAATACAGAGGAACAAAGTGGGGAGGTACCGTACTCACTATCTGCCATATTAAGTTGGATGGTAAAAAAAAAAAAAGTTAAAATAACTAGAAATTATATTCAAAGAAAGTCTTTGAATCAGCTGATGTATTCTAATGAGTGTCTGCTCATCTGTTTGCTTGCCATGTTTATAGAGTCACTAAATAACTTTTTGCGTGCTGTCAGAGAAAAAACTACAGTGTGAGTGAGGAGGAAATCCAAACGTACTGCTAAGGAAGACAGACATGCCAGCACATCAGCTACACTTTTCTTGTGCCTTGCTACTGTACTCATTACCCGTGCTAGCATAGAGTATTAATGTATTTGAATAAATAAAATCAAACTCAGTTTTTCCCTGAAGCTTATCTGCCTTTTTTTTCCTTAGCGCTTTTCAGGCGCAGGAGGAAATTAGGGTTGATTTTAAGAGCAAGAAAAGAAGAGGTAGAGAAACAGATAAGGAAAATAGAAGGAGGCTGGAAGCCTAAAGTAGAGGGATGGCAAGTAATTTAGAGGAAAGGAGAAACAAGCAACTCCACTAATTAGAAACAAATGAAGGATGGAAGCTGTGAAAATATAAATCTCACTAACCCTATGACTTCTTCTGGCTGGTTACAGCTGCTGATGGTGGTAGCACTCGCTGAGTCTGGGTGAAAAGCCCCTTTGATAAGCCAAGTCTTGCTGGAAAAACTAACTCTTGGATTTCCAAGTTCTACAGTTTTGGGGGCGGAGGACAGGGGTGATTATATCAGAGAAGGACTCTGAGTCATAGCATAGATTTCCAGACACCTTCTCAGACACAGAGGAGCTTGTTATTGTTTGTTCCACTAGACAAACATGAAAGATTTTTTCTTCTATACATAAAGCTGACCAGCTATGTAGAACATTGGGATTTAGAGACTAGTGAGAGTTCTGAGGCTGTAAGTTCAAGAGTGTATTGGTACTTGTGTGAAGCTAGTCATACAGAAGATAAAACACCTACAGGCTTGCGTGGATAGCAGTAAGGTAGGGTTTAGATGTTGTTCATACATGACTTCAATGTTAGTGAGGATTTGAGATGGATAATTTGAATGGGAAAGGAGAATATTAAAAAGATGGAACTGAATTGCAGCATGTGTTAAAAAGAGCAAGAGAGAAAATACAAAGCAGGTGACTGTCTTCCTGAGTTAGTACACCTAGTAGTTTAACACATGCTTAATTTAAAGAACCAGACGTTTACACCAAGACTTAGAGACTGACTGTCCTATTGGAGGAATATTAGACACCCTGCAGCATAGAATTGAAAGGCCAAGTTCTCAGACTGGAATTGTGTATCTAGTCTGTGATGTACGTAGGTCAGCAAGCCAAGGATGCGTGCATACACAGAGTTGTGCACATCTGTCCAGCTCTGTGAACATACAAAGCATTCAGTTGTGTCATTTCTGATCGTTGCAACAATACCTTTTCTTATTCATTTGCTTCAAAGAACCAGCTATGGGTATGCTTCCTCCCTGAGAACACCAAATTTGGGTACTCTCCAATATATTGCTTTAATGACAGGAGAATAAAACACCAACACAGAAAAAGATTTATATTTTAATAAGACATTAAATAATTCTGCTAGCAAATATAAACTTTTACATAAAAATAAAACCTTTGACATTTATTAAAATTTGAATGATATTAATCTGAATGAAAATATTTGGAATGTTAGTGTAATAGCTTAATAAACTGACTCCCAAATTGTTTTACTCACTCAAAAGGACATGCAGATTTTCTCAACCACCATGAAAGTGGAGTAAAATTTGAGATAGCATCTAGCAACTCACATCATCATTTAAGAGAAAATATTTATACCAAGTAGAAACTGTAGAGGATTTATCTCCTCCAAATGAAACTCTGAGCTGAAACTTGTCTTGAGAATGTGAGAATCATGTCATGAGAATGAGTCTTTGTGTCATGAGAATGTCCCTTGTCCTGGGAACAAGTCCCTGCTCTTGTTGCAAACGTGATGCCTACAAAGGAAAACAAGACCTCAGAAGTTTTTTGTCTCATTTCTGCTGCATTCTTCCTCCTGAAAGATGTCACTGGTGTTGAAGGAGATACAGTGCAGAGATTGTTCAAGATTGCAAAACTGGCACATTTTTAGTAAAACAGAGAATCTATTCTGAAGGGTATAACTATATCCTGTAGTTGAGATTACTATAGTGTAGGGATTGCTTTATCTTCAAACATTGAAGCAAAATTAAGAAATGGAGAATGTAGCCAACCAAACTGGAACATGGCCTACTTCTATAATATTTTTTCAATATTTACTTAACTTCATTTTGTTTGTTTAGGCTTACATACATACAAGTGATCCCTCATGCTTTCATTTCCTGTCCCTGTATCCATCTGAACAACTTGGTCAGAATACAGAGGAACAAAGTGGGGAGGTACCGTACTCACTATCTGCCATATTAAGTTGGATGGTAAAAAAAAAAAAAGTTAAAATAACTAGAAATTATATTCAAAGAAAGTCTTTGAATCAGCTGATGTATCATTTCAAATGCCTGATAGGAAGTGCACAACCTTTCTCAGAAGGTAGGGAGGGGCCCTGATGTTCTTCTTTCTACCGTGGAGCTGTGCAAGAAAGTTAGTGCCACGAAGCCACTCTGGCTCTGCCAAAAGTGTTTATGGCTCATGACTAAGAGCTTACTTCTGATCATATTTCCAGTGAAGGTTATGATTCAGAAGACTGTGGCCTAATTCTTTCTGAGATATTCCTTTCTGTATCCCACAAAGCTCTGCTTTCTTCATCAGGTCTTACAGTCAAGATTTTACAATATCACCGTGCATAATTAAAGATACAGCAAAAAGTCACAAGGATCAAACCAAGCCATCCATCTGAAGAACTGCACTGGCTTGGGGGATGCTTTGATTTTTAAACGGCTTCTCCTTATGCAGTCTCTGGATTTTCCAAAGCTCCTGCCCTCAAAATACTGACACTTAGCTAGTGATACTCACTGCTGGTGTCCTTCAGGTGAAGAAGGAGACCATATCAGGTGATCACAACGTTGAATAGGGCTGGTTAATATATAGCAAAGTCTTCTGTGGTCCTGTCAAGTCTGTGAAGGAGTTCCAGCAAAAAGGAAAAGAGGAGATTTTGTCCACATGCTAGTTGGAGCAGCTGCCTGCTGCACCTCTCTGGTATTTGTTACCCTTGACAAAGTGCTAAGATTTCTGCCTTTCGGACATCATCATCTTCCTTCCTGTCCAGTTGCTAAATATACTGTGCCTTTGTATCTTTCTGTGTCTGGAGAAAGTTTTCTTTTCTTGTGGGATGTGGATCGCAAGGTTTTGCTAGACTTCACCTCTTCTCTCTAGATTTAATAGGTTCCCTAAGTTAAGAAATGAAGAACTCTTCATTTCTGAGTGGAATCATAGGAGAAGGCAAAAAACACGTTAGTCCCCATGGCAATGAAACAAACCACTGGGTCCAAAATCTCCAAGGTGGTCTACCCAAGAGTTGGCAGGAGTGCAGATGGAATAACTGCACCAGGAGCCAGGAATGTTCAGGTGCTGGTCAATGAGTAACGCAGAAGACTGAGGTGGGCATTGGCAATTGTTTGACCAAAGAGCCCATTAAATCCTTTGTGCAAGGGGCATTGCCAGCCAAACCAAGCGGCTGCTGTGGCGTAATGTGCTTGTTATCTTTTGTGTGGATCAGCAGAGTGTTGCAAAAGGATAAAAGAAAGTCATGCAGACAGGCAGAACACCATATTTGCTACCAATTTGCGTATTCTGTAGCAAAACCAAAGCAGGGCACACTGTAGAGTGGATTTCAGCCATCAGACAAAAATGTTGCATGTTGTTCTAATACCTGAAGAGGAGTCTTGTTCTGGCACTGGACAGAGTATCTGAAAATACGGGATCCCAGGCCTTGCTAAGTGCAGAGACATTTCCCAGTTAGCAGTCTGGTGGTTGGCCTCAGTTCACAGTTGGATAGCTTCTAGACTGCTAGGCTGACACCTAAAATAGATGAGTATGTGATTTACAGAAACATGAGAAATAGGAGCTGGAAAAGAATTGATAGTAAATGTCCCACTATCTTAGGAGAAAGAATGAGGCGTGGCTCAGGACACTTGGCTGTACAAAAAAACAAGACTGACTCTGAGGAGTGCATTTCCCTCTTGCTGCAAGGAAGGATAGACTCTGATGCCAGCATGAAGAGCCTTTCCGCACAGAATAAACCCTAGACTGCTAGAACCTAGTGTTGGAACAAGATACAGAAATTCAATGCAAAAATTCGATTCAGTTCTTGGTTAGAAGATGGTTCTTCCAGTCCAGTGTTAGGAATTTGTGGTGGAGCAATGCCTGGGATCCTTCAGCTCAGTGACGACTGAGACACTAGCAGTTGATGGAAGCCTCATCCCTCCCCCAACTCCACCTTTCTTACAACTGCTAATGGACAGGACAGAACTGCTTATACAGTTCAGGGATGGCAGGAGCCAAATCCTTCAATAAACCAAAAAAAAGCACGGAGATGCAGGTAAGCTGGCAGTCTCATAGAGGACAAAAAAGAAGGGCAGGTAGGCTAGAAGACCACAAGAGGAGACAGCAGAAAGAAGGCTGGACTTACTGCTAGATGGACTCAGTTGTTGCAAGAACTAAACTGTCTAAGTAAGTTTAGCATAAGTCCAACATGAAACCTAACACTCTGTCAGCATCTGAATGTAGGTAAAGGGGAGATTACAAAGAGCAAAGCCTGTGATTTGGGGAACAGTGGAGCTGAATTAGAATTAATAACTTACCTGGTCGGGTAGATGAGATATTTATCTTCTTCCTCAATATCACAAAACCCAGAAGAAGTATGACCACTATAATCACAGCTATAAGTGGGCCAAAGAAATTTATCTTCACTTGTTCCATTTCTTCCCCCTGTATCTCTGAATAAGAGAACAGAGGAGGTACACGCAGCAAGGAATTAATTTCGTAACAGCTTAACCAGTCTATCCCTACATTAGAATCAGAAGCTAAGGGAAAGGTCTCCAGTATCCTTTGCTTTTACAGGGCTTCAATCATGTCAGTATATCACTATCCATATGGCTTTTTTTCCATTTCCAACAACTAGTAAGAACACCAAGTCTTAATGGCCACTTCAACAATAGTAAGACAAAGTATTTCTCCCAAAGGGTAAGTAACTCCTATGAGATCAGCAATCTAATTAATACAAGAGCTTATGAGGCTTCCACTAGTTCTGTGCTACTGTGCAAGTTCAAAAAAACTGAGATATGTTACTACTTGGTATCTGTTGGAAACGAAGGTCAAAGCCTAATGAAATGCCAGAAGGGATATGAAAGTAGCAGGGAATGCAAGGGAGTTTCCCTCTGTTTCTGACTACTGTGCTTTTGAGGTTTTGATTGCTAGAGTACATCTGATACAACTTCAGTTACCACCAAACAAGGGTTTTGTTTATGTGGAATTTGCATTTGTGGAAATTCCGTTGGGTAACACCATCACGGTTTATCAAGCGGCTACTTTGATAAAGCCAGGGAGGAGAGAGGAAGAATTGAATAGAAGAGGAGGATGCAGCACTGTAGCTAATACTAGCGGTGTTAATAGTCATGAGCAACATGAAGAACTGTGTACACCTCAGAAGACTTCTGTACTGTATTTTAGTATTATTTACAAATCCTGGAATATAAGGGCATCAGAGGCAGTTTTCCAGATCTATCATTGATGACTTAACGCATTAGCTAAAGTCACACAAAGAAATCTGCACTGTGGGACTTTTTGGGGAATGAGTCGCAAGCTGCTTTCACATCTGCAATAGTAAGGTGCATGCCTGTACTTCCCTACTAGGCTTTCCTACGATGCTACCATTCCCTCTGGGCTTCCTGTCCCAACCGCTTAAAGTACATCTCTCCATCTTTAATGTTGTCTAAAGGGGGCACCTGCAAGCCAAACACATGCATATGACCAAAGTGGGAAGCATCTTTGTTTTCAGGTATTTGTACCATAGTTTGCAAATAAAAATATATGAAAGGATGTTTTCCTGCCCCAAGAGATAAATAAAAAAGAGTTTTTCTTTAAAGAAAGGATCAGTCATGTGGAACCCTGATGTAATCTGGCAGTAGAGCCTGATTTGTACTCAGGTTCCAGCTCAAAACTCTGTGGCTGGAGTTGCAGGTGATGCCTTCCTTCAGTTCAGCCAGCAGAGGTGGCTGTGGCACTCACTGGTGGCTCGTGCAGGGCTTTGCTAGATAATAGAATCTCAGGGGGCCTATCTATATGGGCTTGTTCAGCAATAAAGATGATAAGGTACCTGGAAACATAAACAGGAGGCACTAACGGATTTAAATTTGTTTTCTTGCCTCTTCTCTCTAGACAATTGGCCTGTTTGTGACAGAGCCCAACTTCTAGGAGAACATTATGGCATCAGTGGGATATCCATAAAGGTTCATTTTGGCATGTATCTTCTCAGTTAGAGAGGGAAAAGTAACAACCTGCAAGGCAGACAAAGACTACCTACACACAACTGACACTGTAATCATTAATACATCAGGGAATGCTCAGCATAGCACAGGGCCTAAATTTCTTGCAAGAGGTATATGAAAAAAAGACACAACCTAGGAGAAAAAAATACCCAAATTATCATTTTGAAATCTGCAGTTTATGCCGCCAAATCTTATTAAAACCTCCAGGAACTTTTCCAAGACTATTCGAAGTTTCATGGCCTTTACACTTAAACTCAGCACAGTTTAACTGGCAGCCTGTGAGCCAAATCTGGCCCTAGGGATTTTTATGTTCAGCCTTCTGCCTTGCTCTAGGGAGAAATAAGGAATAGCAGCTCAAGCATTTAAGCATAAGAAAAATCTTTTTTTACTGTGAGATTGGTCAAACATAGGTTGCCCAGACAGGTTGTAGAGTATCCATCCTGGGAGATACTTAAAACCGAACTGGAAAAAGGTCCTGAGCAACCTGTTCCAGTTGACCCTGCTTTGAGCAGGGGGGCTGGACTAGATGATCTTCAGAGGTGCCTTTCAACCTGAGTGATCCTGTGATTCTGTGAAGCAGAAATCTCTGTCCTAACAGCTGAGAGTTACCTCCTGAAACTGCTTCCAGCCTAATCCAGATATCTAAGTTGTTTTGTTGCTGCAGCAGCATCTGGGGATGAGGTGAGTAGGGGTTGGGCTCTGGACTGTGTAGCATTCGTCTCCTTCTCTCTGCCCTCTCCTAGTAGTATTAAGGCCTCCCATGAAAAAAAAAAAAAAACAAACAGGTGGCTGTGGCTATCAATGAAGGGGATGGAGAATATACAGCACTTGTAACCAGCCCCTACTGCTGCTATCACCCTGCCTTGAATATACTGTTGTCTGTGATCAGCTCTAGGGCAATGTTCCCTGCTCCTACCTATGTAAAAATCAGAATGGGCAAATGGAGACTCACCTATGCCTAGTGGCACTGAGACAAGGCTCCCCAGGTGCTCTCCAAGGTGAAGCAAGCAGCTAATATTAGTGAGGGTGTTTGTAGGAACTGTGATATTCAGCTTGCTGGTAACATTGTACAGCTTTGTTACAGCATCCTGTGACAAATCCATGTGCCGTATAACTCTGTATGTTGTATTTTCTTGCGATATTAGCCAAATCATCTGCCTGGGCTCTGGATAGCCCCCGCTGGAAGAGCAGGAAAGATTCAAGTATTTGTTGGGCTTTAGTTCCCCAGTATGCAGCTGTGCTATCTCAGGTTGACTATAGTTGGCTGAAACAGACCAAAGAAAAAGCATCATGAGCCAGACACATCACATCTTGTGACAACTTCTACCAGTTATTTGAGATTTTCAGGCAAAAGCAAGTCTAAACAGTCATCTCAGGAAAACAATATGGGTCCTAAGAAGGGTTTGTTATGTTTTTGGTGCACACACAGACTTCTATTTCTTGTCCTCAGGATGTTTCAAGGCCATCTTCTAACAAAACAACAGGTCTGATGAGCTAGACAGTAGGCCCCTATCTCTCCCACCTCCTTTAAACTCATTGATGGCTCAGAAGAGTCAGACCTTGCCTGCTTGCAGGTTCTGTGCTTAAGCACAGAACGGGAACGGGATTCAGTACTGTCTACTTTTGACCTCCTGATTAGATGAGGGGAAAAGCACCAACTTTTAACTACAGAATGTAGAGGTAGAAATCATCTCAAAGATTTCAATCTGGAAAGGGAAAGTTGTAGATCCAGTGCTGTCATTGGCAGAAAATCCTTTGTGTCTGTCAGTATTATGGATAACCATTTTGCAACACAAAAATAAATTCACTCATCTAAATTTGATATCCTGATAACTTGATTCCCTCAGCTCAGCTTTTATGTGTAAGTGATCACAGTACAGTTTCTTTTGCTTTGTGCCATTAGACACTCATCCCAGTCAATGAAAAACACACTTGTTGCTTTAAAAAGCCAAGTTCTCCAGGCTCAAACAAATAATATGTGGAATAGGATTGCAAAGAATTATTTAAACATAAAATATGAATAATATATAAAAGGTTTTACTTGTGTTATGTTAAATGGCCCAAATCCTTCTCAAACAGGATTATTTCATTAAAAGGTCATAGCAGAAATAGTAGACTACGTGGAAAAGGCGAAGGAAAAAATGTAGACATAATACTGACTGCATGTTGGCGTATAGCAAGTGTAAAAAAAAGGGCTCAAGACATTATTGAAAATATTTTAGTGACAGTAGGATTAAGTAAAATATGAAGAAATATTGGAGAAGGGACAAGAATTTCCTAGAGCAATATGAACCTAAGACACTCTCTTAGACACTTGCTTAATGTGTTGGAGCTAGGCTCTAATCCTTGCCCCAGTGAATTCTTAGTATGGAAGGAGGAAGAAAGATAATGTTGCTCTTATTTGCTCGATACCAACATGCAAGGAAAAGGGTTTAGCTTAGTCACTTAAATTCCCAAGAGAGTTCATGGTTGTGAATTCAGTACAAAAATAAAATGCCTTTTTATGCACCCCAAAATTTAATAAAGTTGTTCTTCAGGAGGGCTCAAGCTTCCCCTTTCTCCTCAAAGTTTGGCTTTCTTAGGAGACTGCTCATTCAGGGTCTTGTTCTGGAGTATTTAATTTCTCCTTGGCATTTTATAGGAAGGAGAGGAATGTAACCCATACTTGTGAAACTTGCCGAATTATCAAAGTAACTTAAGAGTTTCAGTCAATACCCTTATCACAGTACTTTCATTTTTATGACTTTTGGAAGATCATTTTATTGAAAAGTAATGTTGGCTGCATGCAGAGCGTGGGCTACCTATTTGTGAGCTTTGTATCTGGATTGTTAAAGTTCTCAGAAAAGCATGTTCAAGGACATAATTCATATTTAAAGATAGCATGTCTTCCCAAAAGGCTGGTAGGTTAGATTTAAATACCTTAAGAGATCATCAGGCCCATAGTATTTTTCCAGTGTCTTAATCACCCTAGCTGGTTTTGTTCTGTTTGTTTCTAAAGTGACTTTGTGCCTGACTTCTTACTCACTTCCAGCCATTGGTTCTTGTTATATCTTTCTTCACTGGATTAATCAATCTTTTATTAATATCCAGAATTTTATGGATATTTCAGGTTCCTATACACTGAAAAAAAGTCTCTTCCTGATCTTCTTTGCAATAAGGTAGGCAGACTGATCTTTTAAATCTCCTGAATCGCCTGTATTTTTTTCCAGACTTCAGATAGCTCTGGTAGGTCTTTTCTTCACACTTCTAAGTTTTTCAAAACTCTTTTTAAAATGAGGACACTGAAACTATAGTCTGTATTCTGTCATCAGTTTCACCCCCGCCACAACAAATTGCATATATTTTGAAATAGCTTCCCTAGTCTCACGTACTTCACTTATTGATCAACCCAAAGGAAGCAATTACAGTCATGCTATAGCAGAAAAAGCAGAATTTCCAGTTAAGCTGCTTGTTATCATGATCCCTGTCTTGTTTGTTTGTTTAAGAGACAAAGCTTTCCATTGTGAAGCCCTCCACTTTTTCTGAAGAACCGTCTGTGTTCTTTTTTCTTACACACGTATATATATACAGACGCACATTTATATAAATATATTATAAAACTCATCTTGGCTATATACAATACATACACCTAATACATATGCATATATTGTCTTTATGCAATACATACAAATAATACATGAAAACTGTATTAGGAGGTACTTCAGCATTTTTGAACAGGGCTTGGTCATCAAGTGATCTAGATAGATTTATATGACTGCCCTATCATTCTTGCACAGCACTAAATCACTCAGTGTTTCTCATGTCCATTTTAAGTGTGAAATTCCATACTACAAAATACCCTTCCATGTATGATATGATATTCTAATACCAATTAAAGAACTAAGTACATAAGCACAAAATATCGGCTTTTAACAACAGGTACATTTCAACATTAGTATTTTGTCTTCTAATTCTTTATGTTTTTATATTTATTTATTTTTAAACGTGATTATATACTGTTCCTTCCTTTGGGAGCTTATTGAATAGAAAGTCATTTGGAAGAAACAAGCATCAGGTAGTTTAAACCAGGCCTCCTAAATGAAACCCTAAAGATTTGGGACAATTTTTGTGCCTAAATATATGATTTCTATAACATGTTTCTCAGGCGCTGGTTAAGCTGGGGTAACCATTTGAATTAATCGAACAGTTAATACTAAGCATCTCTTAAATTGGATGCCTTGATATTGACTGCAAATTGTGAAGTCTGAGACCTATAAACATTTGCTGAAAATACTTGTCAAGTAGATTCTAGGAGCAGATTCACAATCAGGGTTTTCTATCTGTGGACCCAGGGAGCACTTGCTGGTTGCAGAAGGCTAAACAGCCTCATACAACCTGGTCCTCTGCTTCTGGCTGCTCTTAGAGCTTGCCTGTTCTCTCTTGACACAGTATCTTGAAGCCTGAGAACACAGGTGGAAGCCAGAAGCTGTTCTTATTAGTGACTAACACTATCACAGTGGAAGAGAAAACACAGACATACGGACAAGGTAACCAGCAGAACAATTTCATAAAAAAAAAATTAGGAAAAATGTTAGGAACTACTATAAATTTTAGAAAATATTGCTTTAGAAAAGATTGCTTCCTCACTGAACCCCATTCCCCTGTTAGAGGATTTTCTAAGTTTTCCTCTGATAACATGCAACAAATCAGGCTGAATCTCACTAATGCCTGCATTTTTTCCTGAGAGATATTTTCAGTCTTCCTTTAACTGAGCATATGAATTTCTACTCCTCCACATCTGAGCTGCTCTTTTCTTTATTTTCTTTGTGATTTATATCATCATAAAATAGCTGGGTATTTGCAGAAATCTTGTTATGTTTCAGTGGAAATTTACCACCAATGATGCTAACTACTATTCCTTTTAATAAAAGGCAGTAGATCAGATGCAAATAAAAAAGTGTATTTTCCCTGGTCCTAGAAGCCATAAAACTTTTACAGAAGGCAAGAGGAAGAAGGCAGAATGGTTTTCTGTATAAATTGTGGCAAGGTGGGAATGGTATTGAGTGAATCATTGTCTCACTTCCTACTTCATCTAATTGCTTCCAACTACTGTTATTTCAGATCTGAGGACCTTCTACTGAGAATGCTCATTTACCCATCTTTAGAAATTCTAGTCCAGTACAGGTACATCTCCAATGGCTTGGGGAGAGCAGCACACGTTTCTGGACTGAACAAAGTGACAGACAACCAAAAAAGATAACCAGATGACAATTAGCAATGATTACTTACCAATGATGTGTAGTGAGCACTCAGATGTGTGTATGACCTTTGGCAATCCTTTCTCTCTGTGCTGTATAATACATGTATATCGTCCTTCATCTACAATCCCTGCGTTTAGCAATTGCAAGGTCCATCTGTCCATGTCCATCTTGGTGCGATTTACATATTTAGGACTAAGGTTCTCATGTTTTTCCTGGCCATAGGATACTTCGTGCACCACCTCAACGGCACCTTTTTGCCAAAAAACTCTTAAGTCCTTGATGTCAGTTTTCTGGGAGTTTGGAAAATAGCAGGATAGGTATGCGGTGTGATTGAGAAATGACTTCACCTGATGCACACTGGCAGCGATACCTTATACAAAGAGAGAGAGGAAAGGAAGATTTCCATCAGCTACAAAAGAACTCCAAACACTTGCACTCACGGAGGCAACACTTTAAGACAGTAGCAATAAAATCATTAGCATTCAGACAGAAGCTGTCCCACTAGGTGTGACAAGATACATAGTATTTCAGACTGACACACTTAGGCTTGTGGAGGTCACCTCATAAAACTGTTTATTTTCCTTCCTGTTGTTTACTTTCCAAGGAAGGCACAGAGGTGTTGCAAGCACAAGAAGGCTATTATCTGCAGACAAAAGGCCACATATCCACACCATTCTAATATGTGGTATCTTGAGAGTAATGAGATTGTGCCACAAAGGAGATAGCTGTACAATTTTTTTTTTTGATTGAGTGAATTCTTTTAATAAAATAACACACCACTGCAATTTTGAAGAAAATGTAAAATGCAAACTGTCTGATAAATGTTATTCTCTAGGGAATATTTGACCAGAAGGTCTGAAACAGGTGAACACTTTCTGTCTCACTGAAAAAATAATCTGACGCTTGATGACAAATTAAATGTCAGTTTTACCTGTTTTGTAATTAATCTAGAGTTTAATGACAAATTAAATGTCAAATTTAACTGTTCTGTTGCTGATCTTGTTAACAGAAATAGTCAATAAACACAATTATGCTTTCATGCAAAGCAGTATGTCTGTTTGAACCGAACTACACTGGGGCTGATTTTTCGCCAACTTTCATCAGTGCATGTATCCATTGTCATTATGGGTGGCAATGGGCAAGGAGAACAGGAATTTTTGGAATGAGAAATGCAATTCTCCATCCCAGAAGACATGAACACCACTGCTTTGTTCAAAAGGAGAGGGAGAAGATTTATAATCTCTCTCAGGACGCAAAGTTTTGACGGCCCCTCTGGAACACCAGAATGCAGAATGCATTCCCCCTCAGTTGCCTAAAACTCCACTTGTCCCACAACAAACTGTTAGTATTTTCAGTTTAATACTACTCTCTTCTATAATATACAGAGGTGATACACAATCATTTTTAAGATGGATTAAAATTGAAAATTTAAGAGCAACATAAAATAAGTGTAATATACAGATATAAAGTTGAAGAGAGAAAGTACTTACTATACAGTATTATAGAGTGCCCCCATTTAAATTTAAATACATGTCAGATAAGCTATACGACCTTGGTTTTTGAGTGGGCATATCACATTGCAGGACACAAATAATCAAAACAACTTTTACAATTAAAAATGTGTCTCTTACCTGGAAGAAGTATCATCAGCTGAAGGAAGAATATACACACCTCCATGATGCTACAAGAAAGAAAAATTAATGAAATATGGTAGAGGTTGAAGACGTTCCGAGTACCTTCTGCAATATTCCTAAAGAAGTGGTAAAAGTTTGAGCAAGAGAGAAACTCTATTAAGAAAGTTCATCTCACCTCTTCCCATTGACTGATGTAAATATTACTGTGGGCTTCACAGCCTTAAGCATGCCATGATGGATCTCTGTTTTACAAAGAAGACAATGCAGTGCAAGATCACTGCAGATAGGATATGCCATGAGAGGACTGCAGAGCCTCTGGCGCGCCAAGGGCAAGACGAGTACCCAGAACTGCTAGCGTTGGGGAAAGAGGAAAGGGGAGCACGCTTGCCCGCGGTAGCATAGGGAAGAGGATGGGGGAATTGAAAGTGGAGGGGGAGGAGGGTAAGAAGGAGGAGGTAGAGGAGGCAGCGCGATGATGTCAGCTACGAAGTCAGAAGCAACGAAGTATGTGACCTTCAATTTTGTAACAGGAACCTGCTCTTCACTAAAACGATAACTGAGAGAAATCCTATGTGATTTGAAGAGGTGAGGCTAAATATCACACATTTTGTGGTCAACAAAAAACAGAAAAGAAGGAAAAGAAACTATGACTCATCTCATAAGCAAAACATTTCTATGACTGGATTCATGTGGTATAAGGGCCTACAATTCTGGTTAACGGTCCAAGGCCGTTTTTCTATGTCATTCTCATTCACTGGTGAGAGAACAGCACTTGCATCTGACTAGCCTGTGATTCCTGGTTAACATTTCAAAGCACCACCTTTGTGCTTTTCTGTGCCATTTCTATATATTTGGGAAGATGCTGCACACCACACTTGCCAAGGTCCCTCATTCTCCTCCTTTAAACCCCTCTAGTGAATTCTCTTTCATTGGAGCAGATGTAGAAACTCTTCAGCTCTTACACTACTTGAAAGCAGCAAGACCACTGCCTGCCATCCTGACTGGTAGTAGTTTACCAATGCTTTCCCACTTTTTGTCATGTCTTATATTAAGATTGTATGCTTTGGTCTTTAACTTTACCCCAGGACCCTGGGAGCAAGAAACACTTCTTCTGTTAGAGACTCGAACACAGAATTTCCCCTAGTCAGCTGTCATGTTTTTGGTGTGTGTACTGCAACATACAGAATTGTGAATTATTTTTTTTCCAGATGCAGTCTGCCTTTTCTTAGACAATGGGAGAAAGAAGCCTAGATTTCTCACCGGCTATAAATAATTCTCCTTGTTACCAGTGAGACTCACTTGAGTTGTAGCAGAAGAGGAGAGAAGGCTTGTGCAGATTCTGTTGTAATCAAGAGATCATTCTCTTTCTGCTCCAGCCTACCACATGAACCATCCTCCTACATATGTACTTTTATCAAGGGGATTTTCTTCTAGGCTGGGTCCCACTGATTGCCTAAATACAATTGCTTGCGCCAAGCCACAGAAAACTACAGATACTCCTTCTCAGCAGTCATATTTCCCTCCTGTGAATAAGAATTTCAGCTTCCAGGCAAACACAAAAATGGATAGCCCTTTTCTTTGGACCTAGTACAGTCCATAAGAGGAGAAATTAAAACAAGTTAGCAACTGGAAAGAAACAAAAGAGATACAGTGTGCTGCTTTAGCTAGGCATGTTTTGCAATGACTGTCTCACAGTAGCAATGACCAAAACCGGAACTGAAAACATAAGAGATGAGAGAGAAATAAAACCCAGGCAAAAATACCAGATACAGCACTCTCTCCCTGCTTTTCTTTTTGAGCGGGATTTGGAGGTGTAAAGCCAGAAGTCTCCAGAATTGTATCAGAGTTTCCTGGCTATTGTCTTCTAGGAGAAAATGTGATGCTGGGGATGACTGCATGATGAAGGATCCTGGGAACCTGCAGAGAGGGGTACTCCACATACCCTGCAGAGGAAGGTCACTGAGTGTGACAAACTGTTTCTCTTACATGAGCTGCATTAGAGAGAGTTGCTGAATCATGAAACAGGCCGATAAAACTTCAGTTCTGTGAACAGCTGCTCTTCCCTTTTTTACAAGGTGCCTTTAACCAGCAAATACAACACTTTGGAGCCCATGTCCAGAACACTGAGGGGAAGAAAGGGAATTACACAGTCCCTTGTTGACTACTTACACCACTTCTTTGGCATTTTCCATAAAAATTTTGTGCTCAGTTCTCTTTTATTTATATCCGCAGGCCATAACACTGAAAGACTGGTTCTGTCCCAGAGTTCTTTACTAGTTAAGAGAGGACTAGGTAAGAAGGGAAACAGAGACATTGGTTCCTGCACACTGCTGGCAGATGATAGAGACTGAACTGCCCCCTTCATGGCCATAATCCAGTGCATGAGCACTCTGCTCCATCTCAGAGCATTGTGGCTCTTTGTCTGTGCAGCTCTTTCACATGCTGGCTGCATCCAGCCACGGAAGTGACACTTTTTTCACGATCCCAGTGATGACTAAATTGACAGGAATTCTTTGAGGACTCAGGGCTTAAAGATGATCTCTATCATCCATAATCATGCAATGTAGGTCCTCAGGCAGGTAACCATTTTCCCTTGCTAAATAAGGCTAGCATTATGTGGCAAGTGTTTTTCTTGCCTCATGAGGCCCTATCATCCATCCCTGGAGACGTCCCCCTGACTCAGGATTGGTGAAATCATGTGTGGATGTCAGAGATGAAAAACAGAGAAGTATTTTAATTGAAATGATGTCAGTATGCTGTTAGTGGTCACACTCAACCCTTTATTTACTATCTCTGCAATGCAATCACTGAAAGGAGGAGAAACCACGTGAGTACAAGTACTTTACTGGCCCTGTTCATGACTGCCATTGTTTGGTCCAAACTAGTTTGAGAGAAGCCATGAGGCACTCCCCGCTCAGCTGAGCACATGGGGATTCCCTCCCTAAAGAACTCTGGGATAGATTTTTGGGAAGGGGAGGTGACTTCACTCCTTCTACTTGTGAGGGTAATTGCCAGGAAACCCTGTTGGACTAATCTTGAGATTGGCCTGTGCTTTCTGTATCTTGTCCCTCCAAAACCAGCATATAATAAATGCAAAGTGAAGAGTAAAGGTCTGGAGGAGCACAAGAACTTTGAATCTGGTATTTTTGCCTGGGGTTTGATTAGCTCTCTTTTACTCATTGTCAGTTCTGTATATAGTCATTGTCCCTTGAGAGACGGTGTCAGATCTGTACTCTTAGACTCCTAAGTTCTTTCAGTGTCCTTTTTCTTTCAAAATATACCCTTTCAGGTATCTAGGAACAAGTACTTAGTTTATTTTTGCACATCAGATACATGTCTTCTATCCCCCATCTTTCACCATGAACTCAAAACAAAACTAGTCACTAAACTAGTAACCCACTCTTTTCTAGCACAGGGAAATTTTCTAAAATTTCCACACTAGGTAACACTGATTAGCTTCACTCGCAGTGTTGTGAGCCTCTGGAAGAGAGGACAGCTTTTGTTAAGACCCTGATACCACTGCATCCTGAAAGCTATCCTACAGTTTTCTAAATAACATTGTACTAAAAATGTGTTTGTCAGCCTTCAAACACTCAGCATCCCCCATATTGTAAGCATAGGTTGAGTTGAGCAGGTGTTAACAGAGGAGAGAACACCTTAAGGAAACTCCCTTAACATAGCAAGGCCGGAGAGTTTTAGGATACTCTCCGCCCAAATGCTCAGCCATACAGTTACATACAGTCAGCCCCCCAACAAGGGGCATATTTTAAAGCATACCATTACCCAGGCAACTGCTGTTTTCCCACGTGTATCTCCAGTTAGAAAGTGCCATTGTCTTAGTCAATTGCTAAACTCTTTCTAACACTCATTCTCTTTCAGAAAAATCTTTAAATTCAGGTTACATTTTTAAATTCTGGCTTTGCTGATTAATTATGTTGTTATTGCATTAAAAAAAAAATCATCTGTCTCCCTAATTCTCTATTCCTGAATGCATTTTGTATTCCTTCTCACTATCCCTTCTTTCAGTACCATCCTTTTATTATATCCAAGATCTTTCAGAAAAGACGTTCAGTCTTAAGAGGAATCACTTTCCCTATGATTCTGAGATCACTTTCCTCCAACATCCAGAAACTGTTCTTTTAATAACAATTAAGCAACATCAATTATTTAAATAATACCTTTGTTCCAAAGATCATGGAGCATTCCACTGGCTGTGCAAACTAAATTCTTCATCCACAATTAAAGGGTGGGTATCTCTGAAAGAGAACACAATGACTGCCCAGTAACGCGTAGTCCCACAACACAAATCATAGGATGTGAACAAGTACTCCACGCAACCGAACTGTGGGGGAAATCTGGAGGGGAAGAACATCACCAACCAGAGCGAGACATTTGTTGGAATTAGCTGACTTCTGCCTAAAGGACAGGTCAGGTTGATGTATTTTTCCACACCCTAGGCTACTGCCAGCCACAGAATTAACAGGTTGGTTGAACCACTTCTTCTGCATCACAGGAACCACATCAGGTACTGTCTGTCCTTCTCTCCTACCCTTCGCACTTGCCTTGAGGTTAGGCAGTCAAGCACACTTCTTGTCCGGGAAGTAGCAAGTGCCAGGTTCACTCCTCACCAGCTCACGCTAACCTGTTTGACTTCGCAATAGAACAGAGAAGGAGCACGCTCATGTGCTCACAAAGGTCACAATTTAGAGAAAGCAGCTGATTAACAGAGCAGTCAGCTGCTGGAGTTTCCTCCAGAGGCACTGCACAGAGGACAGAATTCAAATGCACACTCCTAGACTGTCCCTCTTCTGAGCCTTCCACTTCTGCAGGGGACAGTTTGCCTGGACACAACAGGTCATGGTATTAGAGCCAAAGCTTTCAGATCAAGCCAGGGCCTACACAATGCAGCACAGGCACAGCCTGAAATAGCTGTTTGCAAAGGCACCTCTAATAGCAGACCTGTACTGTATACAAAAGGAAGAATTTGTTATTAATTCCCAATATGCACCCAAATACATGGAACAAGGATTAGCAGCCATACACTGTATCATTTTGTGTTGCAGTAGTTGGGAAGAAAGGACCTGATCCTCCTCCACATTGGTGTAAATTAAATTAAGATTTCCATCTTTATGATGTGTATAGTCAGAATACGCCCTGCAGGTCCACCTAGGTATTTCTGCCCTGTTTCTGACTTGAATTTCGCCGGTAATTCTGCTGATGCTATTGTAGAATGGACTCACTCTCATTCTTTTACAGATTCATCAGCTTGCTACAGGCAAAGGGAGTAAGAAATGTGCATATTCATA